CAAAGATAAACAAACCTGGACACTGATTAAAATGGTGAGAATGGATCTTATTAGTAATGCAGTGTTGTAATAGGGAAGAGCTCCAGTGTGGACTGAACTGAACTTTGATTCACACAAAGTGACTCAGCATTTTAAAGGGAGAGTGGGCGAGAGGGAAAGGCTCAGCAGGAACTGATTGGAATCAGCAAAGTGGAAAATTACAAAAAGCAGGAAGGGGCTGGCTGGTCAGTGGGATTAGTCCCTCTGGGTTTGCTAACTGGAGCTAATGGAAGGTGAGCCCCTGCCCTGACATGAGGATACAAAGAACGGTGGCCAGTTTGGGGATCTTTAAACTCTTTGACCATCTTTCAGTTAGAACTGTTTTGTCAGTGTTCAGGGAAATGGGAGGAGGTTCTCTATTTTCAGGCATCCATGCCGCTAAATAACCAACAGGTTAAAGGGAATAAGCTAATGGTGCAGCACTTGGAAAAAGTTTGTCCTGACTTCCACGGAGAGAAAGAAAAGGAGCTAGAGAGTCAGCAATTGTTAAATGTGCTTAACTCAGTAGAAGATGGTCACACATCGCTCAGTCAAGAGGAGGCGGAACCACCAGGAAGAGGCTGCAAACAGTCTCTCCCTCCTAAACTAGGCAAGGCATTAATTTCAGCTGGAGAGCTACCAAGTTGGGGCTGGGCAATTTCCCCTCTGACAATATCCCGTGGAAATTAATCAGCAAGGGACTTCAGCTGGTTATTATTGGGCATATAGCCCTGTCCCCACATCTGATTTACTGAATTGGAAACTTCTAATCCTTTCTACAGGAAGATCCCCAGAAGATGACTGAATTGTTTACCACATTTTTGCCACCCACCACTCTCCTCAGGGTGATGTGCAAGCCCTCCTAAAAATTGTGCTTGCTGCTTAGAGTAAAAAGCTAGTATTAGGCAAAGCAATGGAGGAAGCATGGTGCCTTCATGCTGAAAGCCCCAATGATACCCCAGACCCTGATGAGATTCTGCATGCTGACCCAAATTGGGACCCAAGTGAGATGGGTGGAGCCAGGGTGAATTGTCTGGCATATTCTAAAGGGTGATAGGTCAGGATGCCAAGATCTAAAAGTCTGAACAAAGTGCAGGCGCTTCAGCAGAAGCTCACCAAGGATTCTCTCCTTGTTAGGAGTTCAGTGGCGCAGATCTGTCAAACATATAGAAAGTGTACAGACTTAGACCTGCAGCACCTTGAAAATGTTAGAATGGCAAACATGAAATCTTTCATAGAGCAAAATGCCCCAGACATCAGAAAGAAGTTACAAAAGCTGAAGGAGACCATTGGAATGAATACTTCTTAATTAATTGTGTTCAAGACCTATAATAGCAGGGAAGCCAAGGAAACTAAGGCCCTACTGCAGGCAGTGATACTCATAGCTGCCATGGGAGGAAACCTGAAGAGAAAGGAACCCCCGGGATGGAAAGGGAAAGTAGAAAAAGATCAATGGACTTACCATAGGGTAACAGGGCACTGGAAGAAAGACTGCCCCAAGCTGAGTTAGGGGGAGCCCAAGTCACTTACGGCTGTTAAGCCCAGAAAAAAAATGGAGGAGGACCAAGGATGTCCAATGCTCCCAAAGGCTCCAACCCTATCCAGCATTAGCATTTCCCTAGAAGCTTCCGGTAACATTGACAGTGAGGAAACAAAAATTAGACTTCTTAGTTGATACGGGTGTCACTTATTTGGTGATTGATATCCCAATTCCTGGACTTTCCGAGACCTCTGTCAATATGGTTGGGGTTAATGGAGAGCTAAAATCAGGGGGTGGGTTGTGCCCCTTATCCTGCAAGGTGGGCAATGAGTTATTAATAATAGCTAATCAATTCTTTTAAGTATGGGACTGCCCAACCTCCATGCTTGGTAGAGATCTCTTGCATAAGTTACAGGAATTTATTGTCTTTGGCCCAGAGAAATGTTACATGTGCCTCCAGGTACCCCCAGAACCCAGATTGTAGCTACAGGCCCCCCGATGAAATCCAAGATTCCTTAAAGTAGAGATGATTCCACCAGAAGTCCTCAATAAGGGAAAGCCAGAGGTATGGGCATCTGACTAACTGGGGAGGGCAATCAATGTGAATCCTGTAAAAGTCAGGTTAAAGGAAAGTGCCTGGCATGTTCAGAAGAAAGAGTTCCCCTAAAGAAAGAGGTCCTAGAAGGCCTCCAGCCGGTATTGGTTCAACTCTTTTGACATGGCTTAATAAAACGTTATCAGTCTTTGAATAACACACCCATCCTGCCAGTAAAGAAGCCTCACTTGCACGAGCACAGGTTCATGCAAGATATGAGGGTGACCAGTGACATTGTGCAAGACATCCACCCACTATGACCAATCCATACACTGTGCTTACCTCCCTGCCCAGAGACCACGAATGGTCTGCAGTGTTAGATTTAAAAGTCACGTTCTTTGCATACCAGTGGATGCAGAAAATCAATTATTGCTCTCTTTTGAGTTGACAGCTGGCACGATTTCAGTATTGTTGGACAGTGCTTCCTCAAGGGTTTAAAAAAAATTGGGGGAAGCAGTGGCTTGGGATCTAAGGGACTTGCAGTTGGGAAATTCAATACTGCTATTTCCATTAGTAGTAATGATCTGCTAATCTTCAGCCCCTCGCAGCAAGAGTGTCTATTGACAGACTCTAAACCATTTGGCAGCCTGTGGGTACAAAGTCTTGAGCAAAAAGGCATACATATGCAAAGAAACTGGAGAATACTTAAGATTTCTATTACAGAGAGGAACCATAGCCCTGGCAGAGGAGAGGTGGAATGCAATTGCCTCTGCCGCGGTGCCCACAACCAGAAAGTAGCTGAGGGGCTTCCTGAGAATGGCAGGGTTCTGTAGAATTTGGATTCTCCATTAGGCACTGACAGTAAAGCTACCATATGAATTGTTAAAAGAAGCCAACCACAACCCTTTTGAATGAGAAGTAAAACACCAGAATGCATTTGAACCACTAAAGCATAAGTTAACATCTGCCCTAGCTTTGGGACTGCCAAATAAACCCTTCCAACTTAATGTGCATGAGAGACTGGGTTAGCACTTGGGGCCTTAATGCAAAAACCAGGCGAAATATTGCAATCGGTGGCTTATTTTTCAAAACAGCTTGATTCAGTGATAAGGGACTGGCCTCCTTTTCCTCAGGGTGGTACCTGCCATCTCCCTGTTGCTCAAGGAAGCTAAGAGGCTGACTTCAGTTGAGCCCATCATGATTTCTGTGCCATACCAAGTCCTGGGGAGCAGAAGGATGGCTACTTGCTGATGGTGGGCAGATTCAGCCAGTATCAGGCTACCCTGCTCAATGACAAACTGCTGGTACTGATCCTCAGTTTGTTTCGGAACATGCACCTTTGTGGACTGCGTGTGCCCTTTTACTTTTCCTGAAATCACCAATGGCTTTTCAATTGCTTACTATTACAAAATTCCGCATCCCGGTTCCTCCTCAATGGCTTAGATGGGCTACTGCATGCCTCTTCCCCCAATATCTTCCCTTAGATGGGCTACTGCATGCCTCTTCCCCCAATATCTTCCCTTAGATGGGCTACTGCATGCCTCTTCCCCCAATATCTTCCCTTAGATGGGCTACTGCATGCCTCTTCCCCCAATATCTTCCCTATAACATCTGTATGTATGCAGTCCCCCTGAATCTCTACTGAGCTGCTCCACAAACACACCAGTCAATTTATTACAGTCAATCTTATATATTTTCTGATGCTTCCATGAGTCATCTGGGAATCTTATAATCCACCATCTTGTTGAAATTGCTCTCTCTGAAAAATTTCAATGTCTTTATAATATTACACTTATGTCAATGTATAACAATTTACCTATTATTCAATTTCTGTTTGTTTCTTGACAAAGCAAATAGAAGCAATCAGGGAACTGCAACTTGTGACTACTCCAGACACTTAATCATGAATCATGCAAATTACAATCATGTTCTAACCTGCTGTTCAAGGGAGAATAAAATAAAAATGATCCCATATGAGGATTATTCACCTGTTTATATATAATCAGTTACCAGTTTTTCTTTATGAATAACGTTTAACAATATTATAAAGTATGTATAATAGTTATCAGGTTTTTGGCTTGTTACTTTTTGGTAGTCTCTCCTAAAACTGGCTGGAAAAGACAAATAAGGCACTGTTTGCATATTACAAATTATATCCAAAGTCCAAAAGCTGTTAATAAGCAATTCTCCAATAAAGTTGTATCATTTTTCCTTTTTTATTTACACCCACATCAGGAGTGCAACTTTACCAGGACTGCACCTTCATCAGGAAGGCATATTTCTCTCACAAGGCTAAGAAGGAAGAAACAGTAAATTTGCTGATGAAAAAAGTAATGCATTTTTAAAATTTTAACTTTAAGTTTTTACTGAGGGCACTATTTTAAAGAACGTTCAGTAGAAATTCCTTTAAATCGTAGCTGTGAGAGAGAGAACAATGAAAATTAGTCATTTCAAATGCTGCAAGACACAGAAGGAATATTATTTGACATACATTGTCAAAATATGATGATGGAGGAACTCAGTGTGGTCTGTGAAACATCATAGGAGAGGAATCACAGGAGCTTCCACTGTATTCCTTCATTGTTCCTTCCTTCTGCCTATTTCCCCATGTTAATTTCACTATACTAAAGATAATTAAGATGGTCTCTTTAATTATAGGTTGAGTCCTGTATTATGGTACAAACAAAAAAGGCTTTGTAGCTGGAGGTTTCAATAGTCTTATGTAAGGTCACAATTTGTTCTACAAATCTCTTTGAATAATTTATGTCATATATAGAGATTTGGAATAGCAAAAATCCTTCAGAGAGAAATTAATGAGTGTATCATGACCATATAAATTTTCTTAGATAAGAAACAGTTGAACTGGATTCAATTTTTATCACAGCCCGTGAAAAAGTGCCTCTGTACCGCATCTCACATGCCATTGGTTAACCAGCAGATAGTGTGTCCAGGGGGCGTTGCCAGCTCATTGCTCTAATAGCCTGTGAGGGAGGGAAGGAGGGAGAAAGAAACATTTGCCAGCCAGGCCAGTGGCAGAAATGGATTCGAAACATCGGTGTATGAAGCTGAATGATGGTCACTTCATGCCTGTCCTGGGATTTGGCACCTATGCACCTGCTGAGGTAACAATCATGTTTTTAGGGTTGAGAATTCAAAGGAGCAAAGCTAGAATAAGTGGAAGCTGACCGGGTTTGTGTTGTCAGGTTTGTGTTCCTACATTGCTCTGCATAAATCCCCTGGTCTATATCCCTAGGTTAGAGTGGTACTTTATGCACAAAGAGAAACTGTCAGTCTTTGTTCTGCTTTGCACTCTGGTCACAGGATCGTCTACTGCTTCTCTGGGGCACTGTTTTGTCTTCTGTTTATGTTTACTTCACAGCTTGTCAGAGTCTGTAAAACTCAGCAGGAAAAACACTGCCTGCCTGCTCCCTCTCTTGAAGATTGATTGCATGCAGTGGGAGTGGTTTCTCTGTTTCTTTGTATAGTCGAAGAGATATTCACTTCTTCTAAGAAGACACAATTCAGAGGAATCTCTATGGTAAAATTTGGTGGAGATGGAGTGCATGAAGTCTGTGGGGACAGTATCATGGTTCTGATGGGCGGCCTTGAGCACCACACAGTAATACTGCACCTGGACTAATGAGAGTCTCCCATGTACTACTCTCAGCCCTGGGAAAATTACCTCAAAGGATAAAATATCCTGTTTTTAAGAAAAAAGAAACTAGAACCGAACAAGAAAAGTTTAAATTCTTTGTCTTTGTTAATATGGGTCACATTTGTATCAAAATACTGTAAGAGGATTTTCTGGTTTCTCTGACAAGAAAATTAATGGAATGGATTTTATTTTCTAGACTTAGCTATTCCTACACTGGAAGAAAACTTGTATCTCAAGACTGTCTTGAGAATACAATGTGTGTGAATATGGACTAGTTACATAAAATTTGAGTCTCACATTTCTCATCTATAAGATATAAGAATTTACAAGGGGACATTTTGAAGACCACTGACAGGAGTGTTTTATGTTGTAATGTATATTACAACATATGTTGTAATGTATATTACCATTGACAGGAGTGGTTTATGTTGTAATGTATTTGGAGAGGAAGTAAAGATGAGGGCACCACAGAAGCTCCCACCCTGCTAAGCCTGTGAGTGCTCCTACAGCAGAGAAAAGATCAAGGATGGTAGGAGAAGAGGGCTGTGAGACCACTACCTAGTTCCTTGTAATTTCGTGGAAAAAAGAAAGCCTCTGAAATACTTTTCAGATGAGAGAATACTTTCTTTTGTTTCTGTTTTTGTCATTTAAAAGATATACTTTCAAATCAGTATTTAAATTTTTACAAAAGTCAGAAACTGTAAATTTCACTGCCATCATGTTTTTCCTAAAAGAGTTGTCTTTAATTTATGGAGCTGAAACCCATTTTGCTAATAACTGACTTCTTGCAGTCGATTTCTTGTACATACCAGTTAACAGTCCTTAGAGTACACATTCTTCCTCCTAGTATTTAGTTCTGTCATGCAGACATAATGGCTAACTGGCTGTTCAGAAAAGACTTAATAGACTGCTATCCATAGATGTGCCTATTTCCAATATAAATCTGGCTGGTATCTGAGAAGGCGGATTTCTCACTATTTCCTAACTGATAAGGATGGTGGCTGTAACTGCTTGTGTGAACTGTGGGGTTTCTGTGCACCTGCTTTCCTTTGGGAGACTGGAAGTTTTGTGTCTTCTAGGCAGAGTGAATCAATCCAACCAGTCCCAGTCAAAATCTTAGGAATGGAGTATGCAGAGAGCATCTCTTGTAGACAACATTTCACATACATTGTCAAAATGTGATGATGGAGGAAGTCATTGCGTTCTGTGCAACATCATAAGAGAGGAATCACAGGAGCTTCCACTGTATTCCTTCATAGTTCCTTCCTTCTGCCTACTTCCCCATGTTTATTTCACTATACTGAAAATAATTAAGATTATATTCTTAATTACAGGTTGAGTCCTGTTAATTTTTCCAAAAAAAATCACTGAACCTAAAAGTGTTTTGGGGAGACTGCCAAGCCATTGTTCAACCAGTGATTTTTCTGGGACTTCAGAAGTTCCTGCTATGCTTAATCCTGATTTCTAACAGAGAAAGACCCAGGCAGACAGCGACAGGCTTATGATACAGAACACATCCTAGAAAGAAGGAAAAGCTGATTTTTGTAAATGTCACTCCTTGTGCCTGAACTAACTCTCAGGCACATGAGTCAGAAAATACTACCTTTGATTGCTCCCCCAGGTTCCTAAAAATAAAGCTGTAGAGGCCACCAAATGGGCAATAGAAGCTGGGTTCCGCCACATCGATTCTGCACATTGTTACAGTAATGAAGAGCATGTTGGACTGGCCATTCGAAACAAGATTGCAGATGGCAGTGTGAAGAGAGATGACATATTCTACACTTCAAAGGTACTGTGCCTATGATGAGCATGTATGCAAATGTATTTATTGTGATTGTGTGGAGGTGGCAATTCTATGAATGGATCCATAGTTGTGGGTGAATTGTGTTTATTCATTTCAATTTATTCACAAATATTCATGTATTAAAACTAAAATCAAAGGCAGGAAATGAAGATTACTTTCTCCTCTTTGCATTGTTCAAATTTATGACTTCAGGACCCTTTACTTTCTTGAGTTCAGCACAGATCAATATAGTTTAACATAGGCTATAGAATTATAGAAAACATTAATCATATTATGGTATTTCTTACCTCTTGGGTAAATTTTTTATATTTGTTATGATTCTAAGTTTCCATTATCATCTGAATTAGAGAGAGAGAGAAAGAAATATGTGTGAGTTCTGTGAGTATTAAATAATGATATCTACATCGTCTTAAATTGTGTCCAGCCCAAGTTAGCATATTAAAAACTGTGTTTGCCTCCTCAGTTTCTAAACCCCAAAGATACTTATTCTTGCCCATTGGACTGAATGGATGAAAGAATTACACTATTAAAATGAGTTGTAAAACATACCAAAAACCATTCAGATAATGAGTATGCTTGTTATTTGATAACAACTTTTACCTTTTGAGTATTTCATTCTGTCATTCAATATATATAATAGCTATATATTCAACATAAATAAAATTCGTTAGGATATGACAGAACAAAATATTCACAAATATTCATGAGTTAAAACCAAAATCAAAGGTGGGAAACGAAGATGACTTTCTCATCTTTGCAATATTCAAAAGGTATAACAAGAAGAAACAGAATAATTTGGACTGTGGTCATCAGTTTTGAAGTAGTGGAAAATGTCTAAATATTAGGTGGAGCAAACTAGAAAAACAGGGTCAAGTGTTCATCAGCACAACTTCTTTTCTCTAACATCTGCAGCTCTGGTGCACTTCCCATCGACCCGAGTTGGTCCGACCAGCCTTAGAAAGGTCACTGAGAAATCTTCAACTGGACTATGTTGACCTCTATCCTTATTCATTTTCCAGTGTCTCTAAAGGTAGGCAGCTTGTGTCATCAAATGAATTTCACTTCTGTTGTCAGCATAAATACTGTTTTCATGGATATTTGAACTAAGGCTTTTTCTTAGGAGGACATAGGGATTATAACATGGAAGGAGAACCCTAAATTTAACTCCTAATTTCCTTTCTGTTGACTACATTTTAAATGCTTACTTCTCTGATACATGTCTACAAGAGAGTGCAGAAACCTCAAAGGCTCTGCCTCAAAAATTTGAGGAAATGACAGTCGTCTCCTTGAAGGCAAAGGTGTTAGTTATGACTCCTGAGTTCGCCTCTTGGGATGTTCACAGACACAGAGTTTCATGAAGCCATGGTGCCCAGGAAAGCTGCTGCACATGTGATGCACAGTGAGGTTCCATCTTCTGGCCTGTTTTCAAGGGGACGTGGATGTGGTGGAACTCAGCCCGGGTGGGTTTTAAACTACAGACCTTCATGTAGACTTAGGAAACCTTGTTGCTTCTGCTCGCTGTCTTTTCACACTGGAATTTTTATCTTTGTTTAGCCAGGAATTATTGTATCATTCATAACTTTTGATTTAAAGTTACAGAAAACTACTCAGGCTAGTTAATGCAAGAGTGTATTAGGTGTGAAAATGGGAAGTCAAAGCCATGGAGACATTTAAGAACTTAATAAAAGCTCTAGAAATACATACTTTCTCCATCCTTATCTCCGTCTTATTACAAAAGCGTTTTTTTTTTCCTTCAAATATTTGTTCCAACCTTTCAAATTGGTGGCAATGACAGCTCTGGAACACTTTAAAGCTCATACTCATTACCATAAGAGAGCTCCTGTGGGTCTCCCAACTTCCAAAGTAGCCTTGTAAAGCACTTTCATTGACCACGACTGGTTCACGGTCCTGTCCATGGAACATCGCATGTTCAGGGAGACAAAGAACTCTGATAGCGGCACCTGGGTCAAAAGTAGAATCCATTATTCCAAGATATCAAGGTCTTTTGAAGAGACACATTGTCACAGAGAAAATTATAGAAGCAGAAAAAAGTAATGGAAGTCAATGAGGACACTCCATTAGGAACCAGAAAGATGGTATTTATTTATCCATACGATAGTTGTAAGAGGTTAGAGGAAGCCTGTCTCCTGAAGACATTCCTTATGCCTTCTTGTGTAACACACATTGGAGCATTGCGTCCCTACGTCGTGGAAGATTTGTGTCCTTAAATGTACCTGAGAGCATGGCTATGTGTGGAGAAATTGATTTGTGACATCACTAAACTGATTGATTATACTTCAGCCAGGGGAGGAGCTGATCCCAAAAGATGAAAATGGAAAAATACTATTTGACACAGTGGATCTCTGTGCCACGTGGGAGGTGAGTGCATGGAGGTGAGAACACAGATAAGAAATATGAGATGGGAGACATCTGGTTCCTATTTTCCAAGGAAAAGAATGAAAAATGCACCATTGAATCAAAAACTTAGGATTTTTAAGAGGTAGTTTTTGTGAGCAATGAGGAAAAACAAATCACAGCAATACAAAAGAGATGTGGAGGAGAAGAATTGGGGGTCGGGAGGACTGGGATCCCTTTTCTTCCCTGTGCATTAATCTCTCCAGTGTCCTAAGGAGGAAACAGAAATTCTTGCTCTTGCTTTCACTATCTTCTTGCCCACTTTTCTGTTTTATTTTTTCCCTTTTAAGAACTGCTGCTAGCTAGGTTGACTGTCATTACCTTGACAGTTATTACTTTCACAGTTCTATTTTACATTTATCTTGATCTTCAGTCAACTGCGAAAATGATATCTCACAATTCCTTTTTCCCAGGCCATGGAGAAGTGTAAGGACGCAGGATTGGCCAAGTCCATCGGGGTGTCCAACTTCAACCACAGGCAGCTGGAGATGATCCTCAACAAGCCGGGGCTCAAGTACAAGCCCGTCTGCAACCAGGTGAGCGCCCTCAGCCTCCTCTCCTTTCTGTTCTTCATGCCCCTCTTTCTGTCCTATTGCCAAGTATCCATTCATTCAGTCCCACTTTTCTTTGTGAAGAAGATTTGCGAGCAAAGTCTGTCTAGAAGGGCATGGAGGGCCCTTACTTGTACCCTGCTTAGAAAAGTCTTAGCAGAAAGGTGGGGTGACTTTAATGCTGAATTGTGTTATATTTAGGGGAGGTCAATTCTATCAAGCAGGCCAAAGATTGTCGATTAGATTCAGGTAAAAGTGGGGTTACCCCTAATCTGTGAAAGATGACCAGAGTGAGGATGGGCAAAGGTGATTTGGAGGAACTGTGCATAGATATGAAGCCATGAAAAGATGGAATGAACAGTGCATGAGGAGAGAGTGAGAATAAGGAAAGAGAGATACTAGGGTTCACATGGGGTCCAGATGTCTCAGTGCCTCTTGGTATCTGTGCTTTCTTGACCAAGGGCATAGATACAATAAAAATTCGCTGCAGACAATGAAGTTCATCCATGGTAGAAAGAAAAAATGACCTGTGTATGAAGACACCTGTTCACAGTGGGTGAAATCAACACTGAGGAACATTTAGCAGAACATGGAGCTGACCTAGGACTGCAGGTGCTCCAAGTCTGCTGCTCTCTTTGGAGTGTGTCATGCAATCAGCTGTTTAAACATATCTACTCTATGCATGGTTCTTTCATAGCCTAGAGATAATTCCACCTTTGCCTTGAGTCCTGACTGACGATTCCAGGCCTCTTTGATCAAATTGATGCCCCCAAATGTTACACACGTTTCAGCATTGAAATCACTATACCTTTCCCAGTAACTTAGACTTTTTTATTCTATTTTACTTTTTTAAAACTTAGAGTCGATGAGTAAAGATCTACAATGGAAATACATAATGTATATTTGTGAATTTGGTATAATAACACAGTGCCGTGATAATTCAATAAAAGCACTGAGAAATTAATGTGGTTTTAATATTAGTAGTTCTTCAATTTTTATTATGGCAATTTCCAAACTTTCCAAAAATTTTATAAAAATAATACTGAATACCCATATTACCATTGACATTCAAAGTCACTCATTTACTAACATTTTCACATTGTTATATGGGGGCATATCTGCATCAATACACATAATGTTTCTAGAATCTTTTCAAGGCAAATTATAAAGATGGCAATCGAGCCCTAGAGACGTCTCATAGCATGCCACAGGAGTGAAGATATTCTCCCAGTTACAGTGCCATTACTATGTCTAAGAAAATCATCTCTAGTGTCCCCATGTCATTTGGTATCCAGTCCATATTTGAATTTTCCATTGTTGAATCAAAATGTCTTTTGTAGCTCTTCTTTTTAAACCAGAATTCAATTGTTTTTATATTGCTGTATTTTGATATTGGTTAACTTGTTTTTCTCAGTTTTCGAAGGTTTCTGTAAGTTAGACTGTTAGATGTGAGTGATTTATTACATCAGCTTAAACCTTTTGGGCAAAAATAATGTTTTTATCATGCCGTGTTTTTCAAATTGCATCACACTAGACTGCATGCAATCTCAGATTGCTCCACTTGTGGGGAAGCTAATTTCAAAAATTTGGTTAAGCTAACGATGGTCAGATTTGTTGATCTTAACACATGTTTTCTCTTTAACAATTACTAATAATCTTCTGGGGGATAATTCTCAACAGAAGAAATCATATACCCATGACACATTTTCACATCTGATTGAGTATACATCAGTGATATGAATGTTTTTTGTATTGTATTTCTGTTATCTTATTTGTCATTTCCTTGGGGTTTTTACATAATCATTTTTAATTTTAATGACGTTTTATTATTCTTACCTGATATTTTACTAAAAATAATTTCTTACCAAGTAAAAATAATAAACTATTATTCCTCTAAGTGAGGTTAAAATCAACTTTTCCCTTCAATTAGCAGTGTCCTGAGAATGTAATTATTGTAATGACCGCCGTTAGAGTAGACAAAAATTGCCATTCTTTTTCTCATTCTCTCACTAATTTCTATAGACTCAGAGATTTTTGTCCCTTGATTTTTAATTCATTTTACTTAATTATTTTTTCAGAAACTTTTCCTCTTTATTTAAACATAAAACACATTTACAGCATGCAAGTTAACTTAAAATTAAATGGTGTCTTCCCAAACCAAGTATTTGTAAATGTATCTTCAAGCACTGAAAATAAACCAACATATTCCAGAGGTAGACTAAGACCGTCACCTCATGTAAAATGGAGCTAAGCACAAACTGAGAGTTATGCACAGCAGGTAGTTTTCTTAAGTTAGGTGAGTAACTTAATTAATTGCCATGAATAAATATTATTCTCTTATTTCACTGAGTTTTTCTTCTGAACCATCTATCATTGCCATTCAGAGGAACGTTAATATATCCAATCAAAAAGACACTGCAAATTGAAATGTGTCAATATCCTAGATGATAAGAAATTTTAATTTTTAAGAGTAAGTGCTGTGTTTAATGACCTACCATAACAAAAAGCAGTTCACTGAAAACAAATGTATGAAAATCTTGGTACACTTTATGAAAGTCTGAAATCATACATAGAAAAGAGCCATCAAGATATTTTTTAAAAACTTAACATTATATATTCTGAACCACATGCTAATTATAATTCATTGTTCGTTACACAGCACCAATACCCATTTTACTTAATTTTTAATGCTCACATCTACTCATTAGGTTGTTTTTGTCTTTGAGAACTGCTGTCATGGGTCTTTGACCATTTTCTTGATTTCTGTCACAATTTGATGCTCAAGTCTCAAAAAATCTGACCCCATCCCAGCTCTGAAAATGGCCATGTCTCCTTCTAGTGGTCAAAGTTATTTAGAAACCGGGATTGGGGTAGAGAGTTGCTTGTGCTCAGAAATGGCATTTCTATTTTCTTAGGAGAGAGGGATATAAAATTTATTTTTATGAAAATGATTTATTGACAATAATATTCTGAGTTCAGTTTAATGTTATATATTATTCAGCTTCTTTCACTTCAGTCATTTTTATACTAACATAACTTTTGGGTTATCTGATGCTTTTCCGTCTTGGTCATCTGCAGGTGGAATGTCATCCTTACCTCAACCAGAGCAAACTGCTGGATTTCTGCAAGTCAAAAGACATTGTTCTGGTTGCCTATAGTGCTCTGGGGTCCCATCGAGAAAAAACATGGTAATAAGAGCAGCAGGAAGTTTACTTAAAACACTGCATTTTGATAAAAGTTTTTAATAAGATCATGCTCAGTTTCCTGGAGTTCACTCACAGCTGACTTGGGGTGAGGGAAGAAGAATCTGCATTTCTGACGAGATCCCAGGTGATGCTGCTGCTGTTCAGTGGCCTCACTTGAGAAGCTCTGGTGCAAAATGAACATCTTAATCTGTTTAGGAAGGCTCCTAACAAACTGTATGCCCAGCCTCAGGGCTTCAGCACTTCTGCCTTTCCTTCCAGGGTGGATCCGAACTCCCCGGTTCTCTTGGAGGACCCAGTTCTTTGTGCCTTGGCAAAAAAGCACAAGCGAACCCCAGCCCTGATTGCCCTGCGCTACCAGCTGCAGCGTGGGGTTGTGGTCCTGGCCAAGAGCTACAATGAGCAGCGGATCAGAGAGAACGTGCAGGTGAGGAGCGGGGCTGTGGGCATCGGGGCTCCTGCACTGTGTCCTTCACACATGTGGTTCTTGTAAGGCTCTCAGGACACGCTTGGGCCAGCTCCATTTCTCTGTGATTTGCTATATGAACTTTTTGTGTGCATTATAAGGGTTTCTTCTACTCTACCACAGGAGAGGCAGCACAGGTGGAGAGAAATAGGATGAGATCAAAACCAGAAATTTGGGTTAGCATTAAGCCAGTCATATCCATATTCCTCTGCTAGGGATATCTCCTTTAAGTTTTCTGTAATGAGGAGTTTGGTTAGACATTCTTTAGTCTCCAAATCATCGTGGATTTTTTTTCTTTTATTATAATGTAGTATAAATTTCTTATATTTTTTCTCTTAGGATTTTACCTTTGCCAAGTACTTGTTGTTTAACTCTGCCTGTTTTTTCTTGGGAGTGGAGTGGGGGGTCATTTGTTCTTATTTTTATGTGTAGCAGACCATAATTATACCTATACCTAAGGATGTAAGACAAACCCACTGAACACAGAGGCTTAATGAGCATTTATTGAGCTCAATATTCCATGGTTAGAAAATTAGCCTGGGCTCAGCCTAAACTTAGTCCAGTCCTTCTATTCCTGGCTGGGCTCTGTGTGCAGGGCAGGGAGGCTGCTCTGCGCGGGATGTCCACGGGGCATCTATCTGGGCACCTCCCTCTCCTCCACGCAGTTCTTTATCCTCCAGCCATCCAGCCCAGGCTTCACCTCAGCACAGGACACTAGCCCAAGGCAGTGAGTGGACACATGCAAAGCCTTTTCAGGTCTAAGCTCAGAGAGCTGCCACACCATTGCTTCTGGGAAATTCTATCACTTAATGCAAGTTACAGGACAGGTCAGACTCTATTACGTGTATGATATGTGTGAAATAATTTATCAATGGGTGTACATATATTAGTATATATATTTGATATACTATTTCATATATTAAGAATGCATCCAAGTATTTAAATAATTAATATCCAGAATCCATATCTATATATATGTTTTCTAATTAGTTGTGTATATATAAAATATATATCGTATATAATATAAACATCATAAAACATGTTTTATATATGACATATATCATGTATATGTATATATGTCATTATTTCTAAAACATTAAGTAAAATCAGTGTCTATAGGATACTCTGAAATTAGTGATACAGAGAATGAGAGAGAGAGTAAAAAATGACAATAAAACGATGAATCTAGGTAGCAGCATTTATTGTATTATTTAAGAAATATTTTTAGACATTAGAAAATCCACAAAACAAAAAGGTAAAGTTATTAAAAAACTGTAGAAATTACCAGTATTTATACACACGTGTATGTTCTCTAATTAAACTATTGTATATAGACATATATGATATATGGTATATATGTTATATAATATATATGTTAATTACCAACCAGACACATATATGTATTTATTCTGGATATTAATTCTCTAGAGACTTGAATGTTTTCCTGAAATAACATCTCCCAAATTTTACCTGCGTTGTCATATTCTCTGTGGTTATGTTTTCACAAACAAAAGTTTCTATCCCTAATGTAGACTAATTTTGCATGCCTCTTTCTTGTGGTTAATGAGTGCTGCGTCCTATCATATATTGGAAATATCACAATATTTTACTGTGTTATCTTACAAAATTGTTAATATTCTCTCCTTGGAAATTTGGTTGTTAATTCTATTGGGATTGTTTTTTAAAATACTATGTAAAGTAAGGATCCAAACATGCACATCTAATTTTTGAATTTTTAGCAAAATGCCCCACCAACATTTATTGAAAAGTTCATATTTGTTCACATATCTTGATTTTTTTTTTTACCTGTAACATACATGAAATGTCCCTGAGTAATTATCTGGCCTCTCTTCCATCTTCAGTTAACTTATTTACTTTTCTGCACTATGATGTTGAAAAGTAAGTTTCACTTCCAGTATGGTACAAATATTTTTCTAACTTCTTCATTTGTTTAATAATATCTTAACTGTTCTTGACTAATGTGTTATTTAAAATTTTAAATCATCTTATTAACTTGCACAAGTGAGTAAATGTTTTATTCTCTTGTTGACATTGTAATAAACCTGCAGATCAATGTGGAGAGAACTGAGCCTTTGACAATATTGAGATTTCCTATTTATGTTCATATTATGAATTTCCCACTACTTATTAATAAATGGTATTTAAATAAATCTATCATTAATTTCATAACTTTCTCCATGAATTCATCTATATTTTTAGATTTATTCGTAGAGTACTGATAATTTTCATAGTTTTTGATAACTTGTTATTTTTGTTTTGTGGATTTTCTAATGTATAGAAATATCCAAAGAATAATGCAAGGAGTGCTCTTACCTAGATTCATCAAGTGTTACATTGTTATTTTTTACTCTCCCTTTCTCTCATTTTCTGTATCACTCTTACAGTTTCCCTTTGGATTTATACACTTATTTGATTTAATGTGTTAGAAATAGTGACATCTTTTAGATATTTATAGTCTCCCAAGTTTACACAGTGAGTACTCGTGCCTTTTGAATGTGAAATCATTAGCATTTAGACAATTATTGGCTTGAGTTATGCTGAAAACTAATTTTTCATTTTATACCTGTTCATTGGATAGATATTCAACGTTATTAATTACACTTACTAAATTATGATAGACCTTATAAAATTTGCCTCTAGATTCTTGTGGATCTTCTAAGTACATGACACTATCATGTGTGCACAAGGTCAGCTGTTTCTTTGTTTCTTCTTCTTCAGTGTCTTTTGAGATATTCTCTCTCTCACACTCTTTTTTTTTTTTTTTTTTTTCTGAGATGGAGTCTCGCTCCAGCCCAGGCTAGAGTGCAGTGGCACTATCTCAGCTCACTGCAACCTCCATCTCCCAGGTTCAAGCGATTCTCCTTCCTCAGCCACCTGAGTAGCTGGAATTACAGACGCACACCACCATGACCAGCTTTTATTTTTATTTTTATTTTTAGTAGAGACGGGGTTTTACCATATGGGTTAGGCTGGTCTCCATCTCCTGACCTTGTGATCCACCTGCCTCAGCCTCCCAAAGTGCTGGGATTATAGGCCTGAGCCACTAGGCCCAGCTGAAATATTCTCTTTGCCTGCAGTGTTATGCAGTTTCAAAATATTTTATGTGAGAATGGATTTCTGTTAATTTTTTGTCTGGTTTTCCCTAGAGAACTCTTACATAAGTTTTGGAGATGTATCAATCTTTTAAGTATTGCCTCTGCACCCTACTGTCTGATTTACCTGGTTGTTCTCAATGGGAAATTATGTAACCTAAAAATAATTAAAGATTTGTATTACTTTGATAGGTGTTTGAATTCCAATTGACTTCAGAGGACATGAAAACCATAGACGGCCTAAACAAAAATATTCGATATTTGACCCTTCATGTGTAAGTAACTTTGGTAAAGGGTGTCCTAATTTGTTTTCACAGATGGGTGTTTGGCGTGACCTCCACACCAGGGGCACAGAGGCCAATGTGAGTCAGAGGGGAGACAGGAGCTTTCTGGAACTCTCCTCCTGGATTCACTCCAGAGCTCTGTTTTCTGGCAGTGTGAGTGGTCCAGGGTCAGCGTGGGTCAACCCGTGACTCTGCTTCCCTGACTCCACGGAACTTTCCAGAGCAGGCAACATCATTGCTGAATCTGCACTTCCATATAGGCGTGGTGTTTCTACAACTGTCTAGCGAACACGCTGTGGCTCCTGCCCATGTGGCCACGTTAGAAGTTCCCAAAGCTGTGCATATATCACTTTCTTCACAACCTGCTCAATTTCTTACCACAGCAAAGGCATTTACATTAACCTTGTGGGCCAGGTTCCAATTCCCACCTCCTTCATATGGAATTGCTTTCTAGATCCTGTCAATTAAGCATTTTTAATCATTTCAAACCTTTTTCCTCCTTTTCTTTGCATATTTTCCCATGACCCAAACACTGCCTTTGCCTCCACAAAGTCTGTCTTAGTGGAGTGAATAGCAGCACTTGGCCTTGACATTCTGCAATATAAAGAGCTCAGCGCAGAACATTAAGAAATTTAAAATCAAATAGAAAGTATGGATGCAAAAGCACCCTTGTTGGAGATAATTTATAACCAATAAAAGACGCTTACTATTCGTCTATGTTCTAAAATTCTAGGATTCATAGAAAATCACTCATAAAGAGTGAAAAGAAAGATACGTAACTGCTGGCAGTGGAGATTTTAACAAGTAATAGAGATAATGAGATAATGTGTGAAAAAAACAAGCACAATGGCACATCATAAAAACTCAAAATTTGGTAGATATTATTATTAGTATTTTTTTCATTTAGAGGAAAATAAATGAAAGAGGAAATGATAAAAAGAAAAGGAAAAGTGGCAAGCATTAGAACTTTTCACAACCAATTATTTTTTTTTAAGATCATTAAATCAGTACTAGCGTTATTTAGTAGAACTCAAATATGGTCTAGAGTAAACCCCTTGCAAGCTTCCAAGTGTTTGCTCTTGGCACAATCACATAGGATAGCCTCGATTCTCTAATTAACAAATTGTAGCTGTACTGTGTGAGCAGTCATTTATCTGTGTCTTTATATTTTGGGTTATTTCTACCTATAGAAATGCGTATGCATTGTAGCTTCTCGGATACTGGACGCTATGTCATAAACAACAAATTGTATTTCTGAATTTAACAAATGTGTTGCATATGATAGGCAGGTAGTAAGTAATAAGTGAAGTAATAAAGTATAGTTGTTACCAGTATAATTGTCACACTCAAAATTGTTTATTAGTGATGAGCATATAGCTTGTTTATTCCTCTTCAACGTAAGGCAGAATGCATTCCTCTTTTTACTGAGAATTTGAAATAGGAAAGATTAGAATATCTCTTTGCTCTGTTGACAGATATTGAGAAATATGTTTGAACATTTGACTTCGTGTGTTTTATGTGTTAAGTTTCAGCCCGGGGAATAGAATAGAATTAAATGATTCTTTATTTTGAAAATACAGATATAATAAAGTCACATTCATTAAACTAAGAAACACAGATTCTACAGTGGTCAGAAGATGAACTTCTAACAGCCACACTGGTGGCAGCTTGCTAGAAACCACTGTACTATCCGCTAGTAACGGAGTCATTGTCATTCATAGTATGCTTTTTTTCTTTCTCTTTCCAGTCTTGCTGACCACCCTAATTATCCATTCTCTGATGAATATTAACATAGAGGGTGTTTTATGAGGTCTACCAGAAGCCCTACGTGTGGATGGTGACACAGATGACGTCTCTATGCTGGTGACTGGACACATTGCCTCTGGTTCAATCCCTCCTGCTTGGCAACTTCAGCAAGCCACAGCAAAGCCCAATGACCGGAAAAGAAACAAAATAAATTTGATTTTTCATTTTGAAAAAGTTAAATGCTTTCTCCTAAAGATTCTTCACATACTTTGATCTCCAGAACTTGTATGCTTTCTTTCCTTCCAACACATTAGTGCCCCCAAATTGTGATTTTCCTATAAGTTGAGGATCGGGGGTAGAAGGTGATAACAACCATTTAAGATTCATTTCTGGGGTGGGAGCGGGAAATTCATTCCTTTCTGGGAAAGGGGCAAGGGGCAAGTGGTTACCAGTCAGTGTCTCTCTCGCTCTTGTAGAAAGAAGCACACGCAGCATGGAGTCTGGGGGCTGAGCAACATCAACAGGGTGATTGGCAATCCATGGGCTCCCTCTAGCAGCATGAGGGTTAGAGCTTCTGGAGCCTTGGGAGGAGGCATCCCTGTGGGAGGGGTGGTTATGGAGGTGGGAGAGCACCCATCAGGAAAAGTGATTACAAGTCAGGTATGGGGAGGTTGTATAGGAGAGAGTCGAGCACACCTCTGCTTGGAAAAATACATCAACACTCTTTTATTTGATAATTATGTCTTGTTCATCAAAGGAAACTTTCCACAATGTTTCAACAAATCCCACAGATGAGGGTCAGGCCTGGATCTTCGATGTGTGCCCAGTTATAGCATTAACCCTGTGGGTCTGTGGTGGGGCAGCACATCAAAGACATCATTGACTGATCACATTCCCCTGAATACCTCATACTAAAAAATATTCTTAGATTCTAAAAATGTGCTATTAATTTGTTATATTCAATCTTTTAAATGTTTTATACATTAAATAAGGCATAGTTACAAGTACAAAACACAAAATATCCCAAAGCCATGATGTATTACTCTCAAAACTTAAATGGGAAATAATATATCTAATAAACAAATGTTCCAAGTCTTCAAAAATATTTTGGAAACAGGGTATGTAAAATAGCACAGTTTTCAAACTTTAGTAAATGTTAAGAGCAACTCTTACAAAGTCATTTAATTCTTTTACATAATTTTCAGGGGAACCAAGTAAATCAGCTAATCATGAAAACAAGATTTTTATTTTAGACAACACTTTTGAAAACTCAGGATAATTTCATGTCTTAATGATCAAAGCAATTTGAAGAGGACAGTGGTATTTTACCTGGTCACACTTAATAACACATTTACTCTCAACTATTCTTACTCTGGTGGCCACATTAGCCCCATCAAAGAGTCTTTCTCAAGCCGTGTCTCACAGCTGACAGGCATCCCAGCATGTTTACAGCTCACGATTTTTCCATAAATTACTTAATCCATAAAATTGGAGGAATCCATCAACTTTGGAGTGCCCTAGACAAATTTTTTGGATTATTTTTGGTCTACTATCATTCTGTTGATGATCTTACATATTCTGTGCTTTAAATATCACCTCTAGACTGAGAAATACCCCCAAAATATTTCTAGCTCAGTTTTTTTCTTCCAAATTCTGAATGGAAGATCACTATGTGAACTCTCCGTCTCCCCATTAGAGTCTAATGGACATTCACACTTAGCGTGCCTCAAACAAACCCCATGTAATCCACTGCCATCCTGTTCTACTTCAGCTTTCTCAGTCTAAGTAATCTCTGCAAGAACAATCTCAAAAAAAAAAAAAAAATTATTTCACATCTCAGAAAGTTGCTTCATGTAATTGTCAAGAAAAGATTGACATTTTGTTAAAATTTAGTAGCCAAGTGTGTAATGCTTAAGAACAATTTATAGTCTAAATCTCTTTAGCATGCATAACTTTTTTTCAAGATGTGAAATAATCATTAGGGCAGTCATTTGTAAATACTAAAGCTGCTATGGGCTTTTTTCCTAGACAAGAACTTGACAAGGGCATAGTTAAATTGGGTTTCAGGGGCAGGGATTGAGTCTCAGGAGATACTATGGGAGCCAGAGCCTCTGTCGGGGGTCCAGGACCTGGAAGAAGTAGCCCAGAGTAGCATGAAAACCCAGGCGGGGGTGGGGCAGGCCTCGGATTGAGGGGCAGTGAGCAGCCCGGAAACACTGACTGTTGTAAAGAATAATCCTGTCCTACAGCCCCCATTTGTCCAATGCAATGGACAGAATTTTTACATTCTCACAAAATTCGTATACCACATGTTAACCCCCAAGGTGATGATATTAGGAGGTTGGTACCTAGGAGGTGATTGTGTTATCGGAAGAGGGTGTCCGGGTTCTTGGCATCTTGAACAAAGAATTGGACAAAATGTGCCAAAACAAACAAACACACACACACACACACACACACACACACACACACACACACACACAAAAGAATGAAGCAGCAAAGAATGAAGGGGTGCAGACCCTACCTACTGGGGATCACAGGACTCTCACCTTTCTCTGTTTACTGGAGGCAGGGTAGCTCCTTGATGGCCAGGGATGGTATCTTTACCTGAAACTGGCTGGAGCCTTTGTTCCATGATCATTTAAAGCTAGGTGATCTCTAGGTGAGAGGAAATGAATTTGGTTAAGCATTTAATGGGAGCTTCAGGAGTTGATACTTATGCTGTCAAGAATGTTTATTATAGAGATCTGCAGGAGAAAAACAAAATACTGTTTGTGGTGTGTTCTAACATGCATGCATTTCCTTGAAGTCTTAGAACTGGCGACTCCACTTTGGTTTGGTTTGGTCTGCTGAGGCTTAGAACGTGAGCTCAGTCCAAAACCTGCCTCCCTCTTTTGGTTCCTAAATAAGATGGTTACAAGATGAAAGGCTACCTGCCTCCCCCAAATTTTGTCCACAAGGAAATTCCTGGTGAGTTGTTGAAACTTCACCATGGCAATGCAAAGTGATAGCTTATCTTCACAGGGCAGTCACCCTGGCCCACCAGACTCAAATACATATCTGATTGTTCCCCTACCCCATTTTGTCTGTGTTAGCTTATGTAAAGTGCAAACTGCCCACAATTTTTTGTTGTTTATGTGAAAACTGTGGCTTCTTAATATCCTGCCCTTTCCCCTTTAAAATTGGGGCCCTCAACATCATCTTCGAAGAGACCCAATGGAATAATTAAAATGCAACTGGCTAAGTTCACGGATGCATTTCACCTCCTCTGGCCCAAAGCACTCCCCATATTGCTGCTTCCACTCCAATTCACCCCTTTTGAAAAATAGCAAATGTTTCCTGATGAAATCATAACATGAAGGCCCATGTGTATGGGAACAAATATAATCAACCCAACGTTTTGTAAGGGCAGATATATTGAAATATTGTAAGGGACTTATTTATCACCTTAAAAAAAAGCAAAGATTTGGTAAAGAATTCCTTTCACAGTGTGCTTTCTGAAAATAAGGTGCCTGCTCATGATCTGCAACCTGGAGATTTTGTCTATTGGAAAAGACATCTAATAAAGGATTCCCTTCAACTCCGATGGAAGGGCTCATAAGAGGTACTATTGGTTAATTTAAATGCTGCGAAATTAGAGGGTATAGGTTCATGGATTCACATTTTTCACTTTAAAAAGACACAGCCTCTGGGTGGACTGTAACTCCTGCCAAAGACCAGCACCTCCAGCTCACTAAACATTGACTTTCAACCCAGGATTTGAAGCAGACGATGTTCCATAGGTTACGCTTGGACACAAGGTTGAGTAATTCAGACCCTGCCAAAACCAGGAAACCTTCTTCATTTACAATCTTGTTGGACATGTTCAATATTCCAATGGCACAGTCATTTAGCTTCAATCATTTAGATAGGTGTGGAATATGTTATACGTCATATAGAGGCTTCAACAAATTATACCCAAAAGGCCCTGAATGATATGATTACTATATTTAGTAAATAGAAATACCACTACTAAAACCAGAAAGCTAAAAATAGAATGGTGTCTTTTGTTCCAAGGTCCACACAGTAGAGTGATTCAAAAATAATAATAGGCCAGTTGTGGTGGCTCACGCCTTTAATCCCAGCACTTTAGGAGGCCGAGGAGGGTGGATCACTTGAGGTCTGGAGTTCAAGACCAGCCTGGCCAACATGGTAAAACCCTGTTTCTACTAAAAATACAAAAATTAGATATGTGTGGTGATGCAGGCTTGTAGTCCCAGCTACTTGGGAGGCTGAGGCAGGTAGAATCCCTTGAACCCGGGAGGCAGAGGTTGCAGTGAGCTGATATTATGCCACTGCACTCCAGCCTGGACAACAGAGAAAGACCCTGTCTCTAATAATAATAGCAAGATATTTTATGGCAAAGTTTTCTGAAGGTAAACATTGCCACCACAAGCGCCACTGGTGAGTATTCTTGGGGCAAATGGGAAAAGGGTTAAATGCAAGGTAGGTCATCTCATCAGTAAAGTACAGTACCTGTTTGCGAGTTTATTTTTATCTCCAGTCTGACATAATCCTCAATATGTTTTTTAAATAGAATAGGGATCTTATCAAGTAATTCAACTTTGTTCATACATACAGGCAGGGCCCAGAGAGATTAAGAGCACATGTGGTTTAAACACTTTTAATCTTTGGTTTGTGAATTGTGTGGTAAGTTGAAAATATTTGCCATTGAAGCCAGTGACTATTTGCCTCGAGGATAAATAAGAAGAGCTTCAGATACCTGCTCTGCAGGAATGAGTAGAACAGGCCCATCTGCTGTCAGGTGCAGACAGTTCTCCACCCTCGTCAGGGCGTTAACACTCACCAGGTGTGTTCATCTCAAAGCGTCTCCATAGTGTTAAATTCAAGCTCCAAGCGAATGTTGCTGACTCACTGTGACCAGGACTTTGACAGCCTGTCAGATCTTCTCGTCACCAGCCCGGATCACTGTACGTCTTCTGAGTTGCACAGGTGTTTTGCTTTTGTGTCGGGTGGTTGGAAAGAAGCGCATGAAATAGAGCCATTTGTTTTTAGATCATTTCATTTATGGATGCTCTTTCCTAGTGTGTCTGAGGCTGGTATCTGCCTTCCCAGGAGGTGGGGTGGGGGGGCCCAGCTGAGGACCTCATGGTGCACTCTGAGTTTTTAAGACTTTTCATACAGGGTGAAGTAAAACAAAATGCGCTACTCAAAGAGTATTTTTGGGTATATTTTGATATTGCTATTAAGAGGGGCTGCAATTCAGAGAGGCTACTGACACAGAAATAGCCCTGAAAAGCTTTCTTCCCTGGCAGAGATTTAAGTGCTGAGGAAATGGACCTAGTGAAGAGAAGAGAGGATAAAAGCCTTTCTCTGGGCCCCTCCCCACCTTATCTGCCTGATTGGATCAAGAAAAGATTAACTCCCAGGAAAAAACAGACTAAGATCCTGACACTTTAAAGATCTGACAGAGAAACTTCTCCACAGGCCAGGGTCTACCCTCCTGAGGGAGCTTGGGCAGGGCCTGAGAGGCTCACATCTGTGTAGGGACAGCCTTGGCTCCCCATATCACCTCCCCAGCAACGTAAGGTACTGTGGTCTTACACAACTACTATTGCATATGTGGTCCATCACTGACCAAAATGTTCTTCTGTGGGTTGTGACTATACATCAAATATAAGTGGACTAAATTCCCATATCAAAAGGCAGATAGATTTGCAGAATGAATTACTAAAAGCAGAATGCAACAGTTACGTTTTCACTATACTGTAACTTAGCAAGTATTCAGTAACTTTCTGTCTAAAGAAACAATCTCTGAAAGAGAAAAAACATGGATTGGGTGGGATAAGGGGAAAGTTTTTAATACATTTCGCATTGTCAATTAGACAACAACATCAGAGACACAAAACTTATACCACCTAAGCAACACACTGCCCATTCCCACACCCAATAATATGGTACTGGGTCCTATTATTATTATTACTAGTCAAAGAGGAGATATAAGGATAGCTGCCTAGGACAGAGATCTTAGATGTCCTGCAGCTGGCTTTGAAGATGGAAGAGGCCATGAGCAAAGGAATGCATCATCTAGAAGCTGGAAATACTCAAGAAATTGATTTTCCCCTAGACCCTCAAGAAGAAATGTAGTCCTGTGGATAAGTTAACTTTAGCCCATTGAACCAGATATTGGAATTCTATTCTTCAGAATTTCGAGAAAATTAATTTGTGGTGTTGCAAGCTATAACGTTTGTGGTAATTTGTTACAGCAGGAACAGAAAACTAACTTGGACATAATCTTAGCAATTCTCATTCTCTCTCTCCTGCATCACCAGTTTTTCTCTCTCTGCTAAGTTCTTCCTAAGAACACACATGCATGCGGTTTTGCTGTCATCAAAGAAATAATACTCATTTTGCTGCATTTTTCTCAGTGGTTGCTCAATTATCTGGTCCCCTTCCAGCCGATTATTTGAACATGTTCTACTCTCTATCTAATTACTCTCATCCTACACTTTGCTGAATGCACACCATCCTGACTCCCACCCCATCATGCTATCAAAACATTCTTGACTTTGTTAAGGTCGATAGTCAATCCCAACGGTCAATGTTGAAAACCCGTCTTACTTGTCCTATTAATGACATTTGACTCTTCCCTTCTGAAAACAAGTTCTGCATTTAGCTTCCAGGACAGAACAGTCTGTCCCTTTCTCTTGCAACTTCATGGCCACCCTGTCAGCCTCCTTTCCTCATACCTGCCATTCTAACGCCATGTAGAGGCCTGGGAAATGAGAGATTTGGAATTGGAAAATTGCCCAGCACAGTATAAAAATGCTGGCATGTGATCACTTCCCTGGGGCCCCGGGACCAGGCTGACCCAACCAGCTGAAAGCAGCATAGCTGGTGCCCCTCCTTCTGTGTCCGCAAAGGAGCAGCGTTACCACATCATGCTGCAGGAGAGCCACAGAGCATCTATACTGAACTGAGTGAAGAGGTCCTGCCCCAGACCAAACTCCAGAAACTGTTAATAATTAACACTCTGATAAAAACTACATCAGAATTTCTTTTTTATTTGCACCTCTCATCAGGATTACAGCTTTATAGGACTGCACCTTCATCAGGAATCAATCTTTCTTTTACAATGCAAAGAAAAAAAAATCAAAATTTTCTGATTGAAAATGTAAAAAGGCAAATATTTTTACTGTTTTAACTTCAATTTTTTATGAAAGGCCAACTATTTTAAAGATTCTCATTAGTCATTTCTTTAAATTATGTGTACATGAGAGAAAGATGTAAGATGGTTAATAAGTATTTCAAATGGTGCAATATAAAGAAGGGGCATTATTATGCCAAACAAAAAAAGATGTGTAGCTGGAGGTTTTTATAGTCTAACATATGGTCACTATTTGTTCTACAAATCTTTTTGAATAATTTATGTAATATAGAGAGAGATTCTGAATACAAAAAAAAATCTTCAGATCTAAGTTAATGAGTTTATTATGACCATATATTATAATAATTCACTTGGGAATTCTCTTTGATAAGAAACAAGGGAACTGGATTCAGTCTTCTCCACGGTCCATATAAGGCTGCAATGTCCTTCCTCTTACAGGCTGTTGGTTAACCGTCAGTCCACGTGCAGTGGGGCGTTGCCTGCCCATTGTTTTTATAGTCTCTGAGGGAAAAAGAAACAAATTTAATATTTGCCAGTCAGGCAAGTGACGGGGAATGGATTCCAAACAGCCGTGTGTGCAGCTGAATGATGGTCACTTCATGCCTGTATTGGGATTTGGTACCTATGCACCTCCAGAGGTAAGAAGAATTTCTTCTAGTGTTGAGCTAGCAAAGGATTCGACCCAGTAAAAGTGAAACCTATCTTGGGTTGTAAGGTTCACGTTCCTACATTACTCTGGGCGACTCTCTGGTCTAGGTTTCACCAGGCTGGAAGAGAAAAAGGAGTCAATCCTTGTTCTGCATTGAGATCCTGCCCTCGGTCAATGATTCAAATAAAAGGGCTGCTGACTCTTACTGCGTGCATGCTTTCCCGTGTGCGTATCTAGCTCCCAGCATGGCAGGATACGTAACAATCGTAACACGCGGCGTGGACGAGCGCTTGTCCGTGAGCTCCCTCTGGTGGACGCGGCTTGCAATGGGCGTGGTTTCTCTCTGCGGCTGAAGAAATCCTTCCTTATTCCAAGAACAGGTGATCCAGAGAAACGTGGACGGCAAAAGCGGCTGGATGCGGTGTGTACAAAACTGCTGGCAGGTCCGGTAATACTGGACGTGGACTAAATAGAGTTTCCGCGGTGCTACTCTCACCCGCAGAAAAACTTCCTGAAAGAAAAAATGTAACCTCGTTTTAAGTAAAATCTAGAACCTAACCAAGAAAAGTCTACATTCTTAGTCCTTTTTTGTAGGCATCGTATTTGTATCAAAGTGGTAGACGTTGTCTTCCGACACAAAAATGAACAAAACGAAGACTTCATTTTCTTTCTTTCTTTTTTGTTTTTTCTTTTTTTTTTTTTTTTGAGACGGAGTTTCACTCTTGCTAACCAGGCTGGAGTGCAGTGGCGCGATCTCGGCTCACCGCAACCTCCGCCTCCTGGGTTCAGGCAATTCTCCTGCCTCAGCCGCCTGAGTAGCTGGGATTACAGGCACGTGCCACCATGCCCAGCTAATTTTTTGTATTTTTAGTAGAGACGGGGTTTCACCATGTTGACCAAGATGGTCTCGATCTCCTGACCTTGTGATCCGCCCACCTCGGCCTCCCAAATTGCTGGGATTGCAGGCTTGAGCCACCTCGCCCGGCCTGAAGACTTCATTTTCTAGATGGAACTGCTACACTGGAAGGAAAGTGCTATCCCAAGACGGTCCTCAGGCCGCTAAGTGTGTGAATAGGGACTAATTATGTAAATTAGAGCCTCACTTTATCTGTAACTTGTGATGCACTACAAGGATGCATTTTCTAGACCATGGACAAAAGTGGTTTAATTTTTAATATAAATTGGCATGGGCAGGAAGCAAAACTGAGGGCAACACTGAAACTCCAGCCTTGGTAAACATTTGCGTGCTGGCACACTAAAGACCGCCTCAGGAGATGGCAGTGAGACCTAGGATCTAGTTCCTTGTAATTTGAATGAAGAAAGAAAGCTTCTTAAATAGGTTTAAAAATGGAAAACAGCTTATTTATATTTTTTTCATTTAAAAATATCTTTCAAATCTTTATCCAAATGTGGTCAATAAGTCAATAATTTCAAATTTCACTGGAATTCTATCTTTCCTGAAAGAGATGGCCTTATTTTTTATGGCAGAAGTGTACCTTGCTAAATTCCTACAGATTTCAGTGAATTTTTAATGTATGAATCGATATCCTCAGAACACTGTACTCCTAGTGTTCAGTTCTATCGTGTAACCAGAATGGCTGTGTCGAAAAGACTTAACGTAATAGCCTCCTATCCACAGATGCATTATTTCCCATATGAACCCTAGCTGGGTCGATATAACTAGCACCCAGTCAAAATCTCAAGAACTGAGTCACCAAAGAACATCTCTTATAGACAGCGTTTCCCAAATATGCTGTGGGAGGAAGTCTGAGTGAGTATTCTGTGTAACATCATTGGGAGATAACTCATCTGAGCTTGCACTGTTTCCCTTCCAGACCCCATGAGCTTTTTACCCTGTGTATTATCACTAAATTAAAAATAATTAGGACATTTGAGTCCTGTTAACTTTACCAACAAATCACTGAATCTGAGGGTGTTGTTTGGTACCTCCATAACAATGATCAACCAGAGATTGCCTGGGACTGAAGGTATTTCTAGTATGCTCAACCTTTATTGCTAATCAGGAAAGACCCAGGCAAACTGAGATGGGATTTTCACCCCGTATACCAAGACAGGAAGAAAAGTTGATTCTTGTAAAGATCAATGCTTGTGCCTGAACTACCTCTCAGCCACACTGATCTCCAGATACTACCTTTGGTTGCTTCTCCAGGTTCCCAGAAGTAAAGCTACAGAGGTCACAAAATTAGCAATAGAAGCTGGCTTCCGCCATATCGATTCTGCTCATTTATACAATAATGAAGAGCAAGTTGGACTGGCCATCCGAAGCAAGATTGCAGATGGCAGTGTGAAGAGAGAAGACATATTCTACACTTCAAAGGTACTGTGCCTATGATGAGCTTGTATGCACATGGATTTAATGTGATTGTGTAGAGATGCCAATTCTGACTGGATCAGTAGTTGTGGGTGAATTGTGCTTCTGGGTTCAAACTTATTCACATATATTCACATAGTAAAACTTAAATCAAAATCAGGGAATGATGATCACTTTTCATTTTGCCTGCATTCAAATGTATGGCCTGAAAGTCCCTTTACTTTTTTTATCTTTAGCTCAGATCAGTGTGTTTTGACATGTGCTACTCAATCACAGGGAATGATAATCATGTTATGATTTTTTTTATCTCCTGGGTGATTTTCTAAGATTTCTTATTATTCTCTCAATTTTCATCTTTATCAGTGAGATAGAAAGCAATGTAAAAGTGCCCTGGGTGTATCAAATAACACATATTTAAATTGTCCTAAATTGTGTCCAGTATAATGAGCATGTTCAAACCTTTGTTTTTAACCCCCTTTTGATGTTGCTTTAGTTTCCAGTAACATAAGTAGCTATTCTTAAACATTGAGTTGAATGGATAAAAGAATTAGACTGTTAAAATGAGTTATAAACTCTACCAAAGATAATTCAGATAGGAGCATGGTTATTACTTGATACTAAATTTTGCCTTTTAAGTAGTTTACTCCTATCATTCAGTAGATGTATAAACTATGTTTATAACATACAATAAAGTTCATAAGGATAGGTCAGAGCCAAAGGAATCATGAGAAGGAAGAGAATATGTTTGTCAGTAGTCATACAATTTGAAGCGGTGTGAAAATGTCTAAATATTAGATGGCACAAACTAATAAGATTGGCTCAAGTATTCATTTAAAATCACCTCCATTCTCTAACCTCTCAGCTTTGGTCCACTTTTCATCGCCCAGAGTTGGTCCGACCGGCCTTGGAATACTCACTGAATAAAGCCCAATTGGACTATGTTGACCTCTATCTTATTCATTATCCAGTGTCTCTAAAGGTATGCAGTTCGTATGATCATAAAAATTGCACTTCTGCTGCCATTATAAACAGTTGTTTATGTGGATGGTTGAACAGAGCTTTTTATTAGGAGGACATAGGGGTTATTATATGGAAGAAGAACCGTAAGTATAACACCTAATTTCCTTTCTTTTGAGTAAATTTCAAATCCTACTTCTCTACTGCACACCTACAGGAGAAGAGAGTATAGCAACCTCAAAGCCTCTTCCTCAAAACCTTGAGGAAATTACAATAGTCTCCTTCAAGGTGCCTGTCTTAGTTGTGGCTTCTGAGTCCATCTCTCGGGATGTTCACAGACACAGAATTTCATGCAGTTGTGGTGCCAATAAAACTGTGGCACATATGGTGCACAATGAGTTTCCACCACCTCTCTCCATTTCAAGCTGAAGCAGATTTGGTGGAGGCCACTATGCATGGTTCATTTTTTTTTTTTTTTTTTTTTTTTTTTTTTTTTTTTGAGACAGAGTCTCACACTTTCACCAGGCTGTAGTGCAGTGGTGAGATCTCAGCTCACTGCAATCTGCACCTCCCAGGTTCAAGCAATTCTCCTGCCTCAGCCTCCTGAGTAGCTGGGATTACAGGTGCCCACGACCATGCCCGGCTAATTTTTTGTATTTTTAGTGGAGACGGGCTTTCACCACGTTGGTCAGGCTGATCTCAAACTCCTGACCTCATGATTTGCCTGCCTTGGACCCCCAAAGTGCTGGGAGCATGGTTCTTAACCTAGAAATCTTTAATGTGGACTTGAGAAACTACATTATTCTGCTGCCTCTTCTTTCACAATAGAGTTTGAAGCTGTATTTAGCCATGAATTGCTGTATAGTGTATAACATTTGATTTAAATTTACAGAAAACTCCTCAGGCTAGTTAATGCAGAAGAGTTCACTGGGTTATGTAAACTGGGAAGTCAAAGACATGGCTACATATAAGGATATGAAATGGTCTACAAAAATATATGATCTCTCTATTCTTATCTCTAAACTCCAACACTTTTTTTTATTATTGTTGACCCAGACTTTTTCGTTGGTGGCTATTATGGCTTTGCAGCAGCTCAAGGCTCATGGTCATCACCATAAGACAGCTCCTCTGGGTCTCCCAACTTCCACTGACCATGTGTGATTTACAGTCCTGCCCGTAGACTATCAGGTCTTCAGGTGGTCTGATAATCTCATCCGGTCCAAGAGTAACAATCCATTATTTTTAAATATCAAGATATTTCCAAATCAAAGAGAGGTACTTTAACAGAAGAAATTATAAGGGCAGAATAAAGTAACATAAGTCCGCTATGAAACTCAATAATTAAGACCTAGGAAATGGTACTTTTCCATACATTTACTATTTGTAAGAGATTAGAGGAAGCCTGTCTCCTGAATACACTCCTTACACCCTCATATGTAAAACACTTAGCACACATCACTAGAAAGCATTGCACCACCTGCCTCTCAGAGGATTAGTGTCCTTAAAGGTATCTGGGATCACGACTATGGGTGGAGAAATTAATTTGTAACATGATTAAAATGACTGCTTCTGTTTCAGCCAGGTGAGGAACTTTCACCAACAGATGAAAATGGAAACGTAATGTTTGACACAGTGGATCTTTGTACCACCTGGGAGGTGAGTGCTTGGCAGAAAGGACACAGAAAGAAGGATGACAAAAGGGGGAATACCTGTCTCCTAGATAAGATAGGAAGAATGGAATATGCGCCATTAGACCTAAAAATTCAGGAACTTTACAAGAGTAGTTTTGATGAGATAAAGGGAAAAACACATGAGGGGAATGTTTAGAGAGCGGTGGTGCACACAAGAGTTGGGGACAAGGAGGACAGGAATCTCTTCCCTTGCCTGTGCGTTAATCTGTCCAGTTTCCTAAGGAAGAGATAGGAATTCGTACTCTTGCTGCCACTATCTTCTTCCCCTATTTGCTGTTTGAATTTTTCCCTTCTTGACAATCACTGCTGGCAATTTTCATTGTCATATTTTGAAAACTGTTGCTTTCACCGTTCTGTCTTGCATTTATCTTGATTTGTAGCAAACTGTACAAATAATTCCTCACAACCTCTTTCTCCCCAGGCCATGGAGAAGTGTAAGGAAGCAGGATTGGCCAAGTCCATCGGGGTGTCCAACTTCAACCGCAGGCAGCTGGAGATGATCCTCAACAAGCCAGGGCTCAAGTACAAGCC